AGGGAAGAAAGGAAGTAAGAAGGAGGAAGGGTGATAGAAGAAAGGAAGAAGAGAAGGGTGATGGAGGGAAGAAAGGAAGTAAGAAGGAGGAAGGGTGATAGAAGAAAGGAAGGAAGGGGAGAAGGGATGGAGAAGGGTGATGGAAGGAAGAAAGGAAAGTGAAAAGGAGGAGGGTGATAGAAGAAAGGAAGACGAGAAGGATGACTGATGGAGGGAAGAAAGGAAGGAGAGGAGGAAGGGTGATAGAAGAAAGGAAGAAGAGAAGGGTGATGGAGGGAAGAAAGGAAGTAAGAAGGAGGACGGGTGACAGAAGAAAGGAAGGTGAGAAGAAGGAAACAGGGAAGAGTGATGGAAGGAAGGAAGAAAGGAATAGTCCGGTTGGGGATGATGGGATTCCTTTCCGGAACAATGGGAGTGGGGATGGGGGTAAGGACAGGTGGGCAGAATTAACCAATCAAAAGATGAGTGAGGGAGAGAATGCTTGCACAGGTGAGCAGGAAGAATTAAAAGACAAAGCCATTGTCCGAAGGAAGGACAGAGGGAAGGGACTGAGACCCCCCCCCTCAATTAAGGAGGGGGAGGGGTGACCCCTGCCAACCCTGAGCCGGCATGCTGCAACTACTCAACCCTTCCAGCTGGGGAGGATGGAGACTGGGGTAGAAGCAGGGAACTAACTCTCTGCAGCTGGAATCTACCCCACCCACCCCCCATCTCCTTTGGATTAGCCAGGGGGTGATGGGAGTGGGAGTCCTTTGGCTGGCGGAGTGCACTGGGGATGATGGGGAGCTTTCCCATAAAGGACAACGGGGATAATAGGTGTTGGAGTTCCACCCTACAGCCTCCCCTCCCCCAAAAGACTAAAGGATGTTGGCTAGAAGGTAGAGTTGCGTGAGGCGGGGACAATGGGGATTGTAGTCTGAAGCTTGAACGTAGAGCACAGGAAAAAAAATAGGAAGGGGGAGGATAATAGGCACTGGAGTTCCAAACCCTCTGCCCCAGCCACAGAGGATGGTGGGGTTGGGTTAGTTGGGGATAATGGAGAGTGTAGTCCAGGGTTTGAACTCAGCAAGGACAGGAGATGGGAAGGGAGAGGATAATAGGCGCTGGAGTCCTCCCCCCCCCCCCAAGCCAAAGAGAACATTGGCTAGAAGGTGAGGGTTGGGCTGATTGGGGGATAATAGGGAATGTAGTCCAGGGCTTGAGCTCAGAGAGGACAGGGAAGAATAATAGGTCCAGGACTTGAACTCAGATGGGAAGGGGGAGGATCATAGGCTCTGGAGTCCTTGCCCCACCACCCCACCCCAAGTCAAACAGAACATTGGCTAGAAGGTGGGAGCTGGGCTGGTTGGGGATAATAGGCAGTGTAGTCCAGGGCTTGAGCTCAGCAAGGAGAGGAGATGGAAAGGAAGTTGGCTAGAAGCTGCGTCGGTTGGGGATAATGGAGAGTGTAGGTCCAGGGTTTGAATTCAGCGAGGACAGGAGATGGGATGGGAGAGGATAATAGGCGCTGGAGTCCCCTCCTCCCCCCCCCCCGAGAACATTGGCTAGAAGGTGAGGCTGGGGATCATAGGCAGTGTAGTCCGGGGGCTTCAGCTCAGAAAAGGAGAGGAGACGCGGGAGGATAAGAAACGCCATAAGTCCCAACCGCCAAAGAGATGGGGGCGTCGTCGGCTGGGGATCATGGTGCGTGTAGTCCAAAGGAACAGAAGCAAGTCCCGGCGCCCGGACGGCTCACCTTGCTGCAGGTCCTGCTGGTCGTACCACGGCTCATCCTCGCGGATCTCGAACTCCTCCACCAGGCTGTCGGTGAGCATCGCGCTGCCGTTGCCGCCGCCGCTCACCGTCCGTGAAGGCGCCGGGCTGCGCGCTGCCTTTAAAGCCGCCCCCGAGCGCTTCCGAGCGCCTCCGGACGCTCCCGAACGCCCCGCCCCGCCCCTCCCGCGGGGCTCAGGGGGCGTGTCCATGAGGCTTGGAGAGGCAACGTGGCAAGGACGCCCGGCGCGATTCAAAACCAGGAACCCACGCCAGCGGCAGCCAATCAGCGCGCGTCCTCCGCCGGCTGGCCCGGGCCGCTCCGACCAATGGCGAGCAGAGGGCTCCCGCTGCGGCCAATGGCAAAGAGGTTTGAGAGGGGAGGGGGTGGGGGGGAAGAAGACCCGCCCTCCGAGCTTTCTGCGCTGCCCGAGGCTGGAGTGCGGGTCAGTGCGGCGTCGCCTGGAGGGAGGGGGGGGCGGTCGCCGTTGCTAGGCGGTCGCCGTTGCTAGGTGACGCGAGGGGTCGGTTGCTAAGGGGAACGAATGACGGGTCCCGTCGCCTTGAAAGCAGTTGCGGGCAGGACACGGGCAGGGTGGTCGTGGGAAGGGTGACGGGAGAGGGGGAAGGAAGTAGGCGGGTTGTTCGGGGGGGGGGAATTCCCCCCGAGCCCGGACAGGGAATGGCGTTCCTATCTGGCAGCAATCGGTGGTCCAAATGGAAAAGGTCCCGCTGTTCATAATTCCTCTAATATATTGACTATTAATTAGAATGGCGTACATCGTCTGAAATAATTATATAGGGTGTCCTGCTTGAGCAGGGGGGAGGGTTGGACTAGAGGACCTCCAGGGTCCCTTCCAATATTGACTATTAATTAGAATAGTGTACATAGTCTGAAATAATTATAATAATTATAATCCTGTTTGAGCAGGAGGAGGATTGGACTAGAGGACCTCCAGGGTCCCTTCCAATATTGACTGTTAGAATGTACATAGTCTGAAATAATTATAATAATTATAATCCTGTTCGAGCAGGGGGGAGGATTGGACTAGAGGACCTCCAGGGTCCCTTCCAATATTATTAATTAGAATAGCGTACATAGTCTGAAATAATTATAATAATTATAATCCTGTTCGAGCAGGAGGAGGATTGGACTAGAGGACCTCCAGGGTCCCTTCCAATATTGACTATTAATTAGAATAGTGTACATAGTCTGAAATAATTATAATAATTATAATCCTGTTTGAGCAGGAGGAGGATTGGACTAGAGGACCTCCAGGGTCCCTTCCAATATTGACTATTAATTAGAATGGCGTACATAGTCTGAAATAATTATAATCCGGTTCGAGCAGGAGGAGGATTGGACTAGAGGACCTCCAGGGTCCCTTCCAATATTGACTATTAATTAGAATGGCGTACATAGTCTGAAATAATTATAATAATTATAATCCTGTTCGAGCAGGGGAGGAGGGTTGGACTAGAGGACCTCCAGGGTCCCTTCCAATATTGACTATTAATTAGAATGGCGTACA